TTTTTAATCGATGAACCTCATCATCCCCATCCGATACACAACTATCCCTTCCCTTTCGTCATAATTTTGCTACTGCTTAATAGGTGTCCAGGTTTAACTCTTCATAAAATACTACCTACACTTGTAAAAAATTATAGATACCTACTTACAGGTAGCTGCAGTAGTTATTCCTTTTCGGGGAATTCCAGAACGGACATAAACTTTGGGTCTATTGACACCTTAGCAGTATAGAGACATAACCGCAGTTTACTCAGTTACCTTGCCTAAAAAATGTATTAAATGAAATAAAAAAATCTATTAAATGAAATAAAAATTTATTAGTTAAGTGTAATGTTACATTAATTTTTACTTATTATTACTTAATCTGGCATTTGCAATAGTAAACTGGTTATTGACTCTGCCGACTGCAATGGATGGCCACGTTATAATATCCTCTTTGAAAATTGCAACATATAGAGAATGTTATTGCTATTAAAATTTACAAATCAATATAATTGATTTTTCATAATTCAGACACCGAATCTATAATAAAAATTGAAGCAGATGGAGAGTTTTATAAAAGGGTGACTGAAATAATAAAACGTTTCCTCTGATACAGTTTTGCGGCATGGAAATATTAAAAACAGCGAATATTGTGGATCAATATAAAATTTCAAGTATTACTTAGTTAAGATTCCCAACAGAAAGATCTCAAAATCGAACTTTATTAATTTTTAAACATCCATACAAATCAGGAGTAAAAAACACAAAAATGAGACTATTAATTTTCAAACGAACATTTGGAAGGTATGTACTTGTCAAAATGGATCTACATTGAGAGGTAGATAGATACCTTTGTAAAGTCCTGGTCAAACATTCTGAAATATTACATTTACATATTAGCAGCAAATATCAGCAGATGGTGATAACTGACCATACGCTGATAGTATATTAACTCGCCATTGTAGAACAGCTTCAGCTTGATCGGTGATTTATCGAAGCTGTCTATAGCGTACTGATGAGAACTAATGTCTGGTAATTTCTGGAATGGGTAGGTAGGTCATTAGTGAGGGTACTTACTCTAGTAATTACGAATTATGCAGTTTTATCGTAATTAGGTCAGTAGTCTTTCAACTTTCGTCGACCAAACAAGTCAATAGGGAACAAATTGTGAAATTTGGAGCAAATCGAGTACCGCGCTGTTATAAAGTTCCTTACCAAGGAAGGAAAATCAGTTCAAACCATATTGGAAGAGATGTTATCCGTTTATGGGGAATCTTGCTTAGGAATAACCATGGTTTACAAGTGGCATACCCCCTTTAAGCAAGGCAGGGACTCGCTTGAAGACTACCCACGCCCAGCTTGGCCGATCGAGTTTCCCACTCAAGAAATCATTCAAATAGTCGAAAAATTAATACTGGAAGATGTCCGACCCAAAGAAACAGCTCGCAAAAATGGTAGGAGTATTAGATACAACTATATTTAAAATTCTTCAGGATCATCTAGGCATGACTAAAGTCAGCACAAGATGGATGCCGAGAGTGCTCACTTCATCTTAAAAAGAAACAGCGTGTGGGGTATTCTCAGGCGTTTTTGGACTTTTAGTGAAGATAAAGATGGAGTATTGACTCGAATTGTTACTGGGGCGAAACTTGGGTTCATCGTTATGAACCTGAGTCCAAACAGAACTTATGCAGTGACACAAAAAAGGCACACCACCAACCGAGAAGTTTAAGGTGTCACAGTCGGCTGGGAAAATCAAGGCAACAGTCTTTTGGGACTCAGAAGGGATCCCCTTGAGCGATTATAAAGATAAAGGTGTCTCTATAACCGGAGAATACTATGCTTTAATCCTTGAGCGGTTAAGGTTAAGGAGTCCTCCTTCTGCGCCTTTTACAAGAACCATGTTGTGATGGCTGTCCTGCAGAAGGTGAGCTTCGAAATTTTGACTCACCCACCCTACAGTCCTGATCTAGCTCCCATTGATTATTACCTATCTTCAACTTCTTCGTGGGTAGAAATTTTCAAGCGACAGATGAAGGATGCAGTTTCGGCGTATTTTTCAGAAAAGGACAAAACATTTTTTTTCGAAGGTGTACGCAAATTAATTGAAAGATTGGAAAAATATATAAAGGTAGCAGGTGAATATACCGAAAAGGAAAAATAAATTCGTACTTTTCTTTCCACTTCTTACCTCCCATTTCACGAACTTGAAAACGTCCCCTCGTACGTTCCGTTGAAGATTCACTTTGACACTAATTATAAGATACCTTCCTAAGGTCACTGCCAAAAATTTTGAATTACTACACTTAGCAGCATATATAAGTAGATGGCAATATATACTGTCATACTTCGGTATTATAGTCTAAACTTAATATAGCTGTATTTGTACCTAAATCGATCAATTATTTATCTTCAAATTCACGTCGTCAGTTTGTTTTATATTCCAATACAATTAGGTTAGCACATGTCGCAGTTACATAGCGCATTTCGTATATTTGTTTAATGTTGTCAGACAAGAACCACATCGAAGTCCGAAAAAAATTCAGCACGTGCCAGTTTTCGATCGTTGTGTATCTCGTTAATTCCGCAGTTATGACATTGATACTCATTTTTTATTTTGCTGCGTCAACAGACCCGAAAAAGTTATCTCAAAGATACAAAAAACAAATAATTGTGCGTCACGGTAATTAACATGCTTTTTAAAATAAGTAATATTTACAACAATCTAATTATAAGATAAATTTTTTTGCGTGTAAAAGTAAAGAAAGTTAATATTATTAAATACCTAATTATAAATGTATTTTTATGTATTATTAATTGCCTACTACAATATAATATGTCGGTTAACGTTATCTATCACAAAGAACGTGAACTAATTACTCAATATAAGATTGTTTGAATTTTCGTTGTCTCTTACAGCATTTACTTTTGTAAATAATTAATTAGGTTGTAGAACTCCCTCAATAAGTCATAAGATATAACGTGTAGATAAATATTTTATTTTTCAAAACGGTTATTCTTAGATATTTGAAAAAATGATTATGTAAATGCATTAGATTGCAAAACGCAGAAAATTGCACCTTCTTACTTAAACAAAATTATGCCAGAAAAAACGCACTTTATGAGCTATATTACAAAACAAACCCCTAACTAAGATTCCGATATTGCAAATACATACTTAATGTGTACCTACTAGTGGCTAATGCTGTATTTAGTGTAATTCAGAATTTACGGTTTTACGTGTTTAACTATGTTAAAAAGTAAAAAAACAAGTAAATAAAAATTCTAAAAAAAATAGTTATTTGTAATTTACAGTGTCATGAGGTTTTCATCGGTATAATACTCAGATAAAGATTTTTTTGTTTGAGCTAATGTGATAGATCTGACGTAGGTTTTCACGTCAGAACTTTTAAATTAGTAAAACTTCCCTAACTCGAAACTCCTAAATGCAGCCAGATTTGTTCTCGTAAAAAAAGAAATTACGTTAAAGAAAATTTCTGCTTTATCGTTATGCTTGTTAATTTTTTTTTGTCGGAAAGGTAGGTGACAACCTTTAGAACATTGCTTGACATTCGGCAGGACACCGGTCCGATTCCGTGTGCTTCTGCCCTGATCTAAATTCTTCTGTGGTTCCTACTGAGTATAATGGATTTCTTTTATTACGACCTTAGTTATAGCGACCATTTTACTATAGCAACATTAAATCTAAGTCCTTTGAATTTAAAGCATACACTATAGCGACTTCGCATGTAACGTCGAATTCGGGTGTAACGACGGTTTTTAATGAATCATTTGTAACAAATCTTTCAAGAGCTTTATCTTTTGTTGGCATCCACACAGATGGCCAGCAAGTATGTTAATCTTTACCGTTTGTTCAGAGATGATAACCGCGTAAGTAGGTAAGCCTGTACGTTAAAATGGCTCAGTTCCAAATTGATATTCTGAATAGCAATTGTGTTTAGCAAATTTTTGACTCCTAGATGCACATTTACTGTTAAAGAAAAGGCAGAAATCGTTTCAAAATTGAAAAAAGGTACAAACTATACGTATGTGTCTGTATCTCATTACCTTTGCCTATAACGACTTCCGGATATAACGACGAAATTATACTGTTCCTTTGGGCGTCGTTATACCCGAAATAGTTTGTCAGTTCTGTCTCATCTTTTTCACCCCAACAACCACCCACCCACCCATTCCCATGACTCTTAAAAAGAGACTGAAGAAGGCTTTATGTCCTACTCTTCGGCGTAGTCTGGGAGCCAACATTAGCAGCTTGGGAATAAAGCACGGAAAAACTTGAAAATTTTGGGCCCCCTTACTCCCGGCATCACGTTGGCAGCCCCCTAACGCACTCTGTTCTTATACCTGCGGTTCACACTTTCGATAGATGGGTTTAAAATACCCAGACATGGATACCAATTAAAGCAATACGAAATTATTCCGCAGCGTCTCATTAACCAACGCCCTGTTTCAGAAAGTGTAAACTGCCTTCATTTTGTAAACGGCACTAACGAATTTCCTGCGTAAAACATAATAGAAACAATTTGTCAAAATGCACGGGAAATCGACAGTAGCAATCCGTATTACGCTTATTAATCATGATTCCCAACGTAAGATTGAAGATTCTCCATTAGCAGATTGTTATTTATTTTACGGTTGAAAATTATGACGTCATAAATCCAATTATTCCATCGGGCTTACGGGATTAAAAGGCGTGATGCATGCATATAAACGAATTAAATGGCTACGTTGCACTGCACCTTTTGCACGGCGGTAAATTTTACTTCACTTAACAGCGTGCCGCGTCGGCTTATATCTCTGTGTAACTGTCATGGATAATTTATTTTCATTTAAACACCAGAGTCACATAGTCCATGATTAAAGAGCACTAAATCAGGCAAGCTCCCGTATGAATTATTTAATTCCATCTTTTATCGCGGCTTGCACTTAAATCTCTCGGAAGATGCAAGCATTTTTAAAGGAAAATGACGTTACTGAGTCGTCCCGTATTTTTCCAGGTTCCGTCGTCGAGAAGAAAAGGAGCATGGTCCTGGCCGTCAACGTCGTCGCCGTTTCAGCAGCAATAACTCCATCTCGAATTCCCATCACGCTTCGACCTTATAAACCAGCGTCGAGGAAAACGAAACTCTTCGAACTCTCCTCCACATCCTCCTTCGCGTATTCGTCCTGTTTCTTTTTATCGTGCCACCGACAGCCGACCAAGTATGCCGGCTAATTTCAGACTTGTCGAAATTTTGTTCGTACACGGCAACAAACGGTAGGGCATACAGAGGCGCACCGACCGTCTTCACGTCTTCGATCTGCTTACGAAAACGAAAGGAAAAAAGAGGAAGCTTCTTGCACGAGCCAATTTGGAACTGATGAAATTTAAAAAGGTAAGTTGCCTACTTCGATCGTAAATGTTGTGACGCTAACGGAAGTAAAGCTACTTCAAAATCGGATTGCGTTTTGTAAAAAAAAGGCTAAAAGCAAAAAATACATTGAAACTCGATTATAATGAAAACTTACTGCAAAAGCACCTTATGTAAATATACGACTATTTCTTGTAGAGGATTTGCACAAGATAAAATCTTGTCATCTTGCATATTTCACATTTCATTGTAATGCTAATCGATTATCGAAATGTGACTTACTTAGTGCTGAATTTGAAGATCCTCAGAAACTGTAAATGCGTTTGAAAGTTTGTTAAATAAGCAACTTACTAAGTACAGTCCATTTCATTTTGTTAGAATTGTGACCTTGAATAAATCTGCGCGAAGATAGAAAGAATACTCACTAGGCGTGAGCAAGACAGAAATAGTTGAAACAAGCTTGAACGAGCACAGCTCTCGATGGGCGGTCTTAGGAGATCGGCTAGAACTGTACAGTACTAGACCAAAATGTTTAGCAATTTTTTAAAACAAAAATATACATAAATTAACAATAGACAACAAAGCAAAAGTTTTATAGGTGTGTAGAACGTTAAGTTAATTCACTTGTTATTATTTTTGGCTAAATATGCTTTTAAATAAAGCGTATTCTTAAATTTTAACGAGGCAGTTTAAATAATTTTGCAAATGGTACTGTACACTTTTGTCTATTTCTCGCACGATGATCGGTGGAGAAGTGAGCTCCGCAGACAAATATGATTGAATTTGGAATTATGCTACGGCTCATCCTAATAAAGGGAAGGGACCTATCTCTAACTTCTTGAAACGAACAGTACAACTAAAGGATACTGTTTGTTGGGTTTATAGGGATAGGTAGAAACGTCCAAAGTCATATTAATTGTTCTTCTAGAACTAGAAATAGCTCATTGTCATACGTTATTTACTTCTATTTAGAGTTGATTATTACAAGATACTTTATCGGATCGTATAGGATCCGTCCGAAAAATAGTCGGGACTGAATTTTTCCCGCCCAGAGAGAGCGCCGAAGGAGGACTTTTTCTCGTGGGTGGTCGTCAACTTTCTAAGCCTTTCCGGAGTAGAGGTGGACTTTAAAATGAACCCCAGTCAAGAAGCTCCGCAATGAATCTTTAACTCTAGCAGCGTTACGCGGTAAAGTTTTGCTTCTAACTCGATAAATCTGCGAGTGAAACCCATGAAACGATCAAAAGTGCCATTAGGTCGATCGAATGTTTGGATTGACACAACTTATTCGCGAGGGAGGAGATCAAGTTGAGCACAGTTTTCAGTGGCCCAAAATGACGAAAATTTAGCGAGAGTGGAAAATCTTTTAAATTTTGAAAATTAAATGCACGGATGAGAGACAGTAGAAATTTTAAAATAGAAACCAACATATATGTATAACCGAGATATAGCCTAACCTAACACAGTTACAATTAGGGTTAGTTACACCTGGTTGCACAAGTTTCCTTTTCAGAACTTTTATTAGTAAAAATACACGATACGTATCAGTTTCCAGATCATTAAAGAGGTCGTTACGAAATAGTTGGAGTTCATTCCGGTTTCTAAGTTTGAGGAGAATCTTTAGTTATTATGTACATACTTCTAATTAAAATGGCAATACAAAATGGTTATTTTTATTTTTATTTTAAATTCGTTTTCTTCAATATTAGTAGGATAGTTCCTATATCTATTTTTATTTTGAAAAAACTAAATGCAAACTGCAGTGGTCAAGTTTTCACAGTCTTCTCAATTTGAGTTATTGTATCGCAGTGTCATCATATTCTTAAATGAATACCAAAATTCTGATTTTAAAATACTACTTTGTCGATCAAGATTTTTTTTAGGGCAGTAAAGAATTTAGTTATCATTATAATTTTAATTTCTTACGGAATAGGTACTTAGGCTACTGTTATAGTACTTAAAATTTTTCAGTAGAGCATAGCACTAGAGACAGGTAGGAAATAGAAATAGAAATGATCATCCATGAGAAGGTTTTCTACCAACCTATTTCGTCAATTTCTTCTTGACTTCTTAGCGCCTCTGTTCTCCTACTCTTTCTAAAACCTTCTCATTATTATCTATTACTTAAACTTGCTTGTTATACTAGTTGAACCCTTCCAAAAAAATAAGACGTAGCACTTACATTCTAATCACGGCGACCCTCTTTATCATAACCTAACCTTAGCTCTTGTTGCATAGTACTTATCCCTAATGCATACCACTTTACATATACCAATCAGGAAAACACCCTTTCACCATAACCTAATCAAAACCCATGGTGCATAGTACTTTACACAGGCCTACCAGGGATCTTCTCATTTAAGCGAAAGCGTAATTTCCTTCAAAGCTCAGTATACATGTGCGTCTGTAACTTAAATAAAAACCTTTTTCCACCCTACGCTGCATTCGCTTTAGAAGATAAAAATAGTTAACGATTTTAATTCATTTGTTACCGTGTCAATCCAGGAAGCATTGCCTTGAGTAAAACTTGTTGCTACATATGGAGTCAATTCATCTAGCAACCTCAGCATTAGAGGTTCGAGCAGTTTATTGTTGGCTTAAATCTATCAGAAGCAAGTGCAATCTGTTTTATATCAGCTCCATTCTTTACAGTAAATCTAAATTCACTACTAACATACGGGCTGATGCCACAATTCACTTTAGATACTCTTTACACGTCTAATAGTAGATATTATTTATCACGACTTGCTTATACTCTCCGATGAATTTGAACATCAGCAATACAAGAGTTTGAAATTACATTAATTTCAGAAAAGTTGTCTTCGTGAATTAAAATTGATTTCCAGAATTGGGTAAGATACACAAAACAGCGTTTATAAATTATTGTAAAATAACAATGTATAGGGTTGCCATCCGTCCGAGTTTCCCCGGATTTGTCCTAGTTTAGAAAGCATCCGGGGAGCGTCCGGGGAGGGTGGGGTTCATTTGTAGTCCGGGTTTAAAACACGCACTATGCTCGCACACCACAATCAACTGACGAACATAACAAAGTATACCAATAATTTGTGATTAATTTTTTTTTTTAAAACTGATTATTAAAACAATTTGTAACAAACTGTAATAAGATTCTGTTTTGTTAGGTACATTTAAAATGATGATAAAAAATGACTAAATTTAATTTTAAGATCTGAAAATAAATAAAAAGGTGATTTATGACATTTTCAACTGTTTTTTTATTACACTGACTATGTTTAAAAAAACCTGTTGACATGTCCGGGTTCTGGGGTTTTCACGCGTCTTGTCCTGATTTCCAAATTTTAGAGATGGCAACCCTAACCATGTACAACAACAGCAATATCTGAAAGAAGACGCAGAAATTCGTTTGAACCTGTTCCTACTTCTTTTTTTTTTTTATTAAAATAGTTGATCACCTCGTATCGGAATTTGTTTATTTAATAGTTCTCTTATCTTTATTTAAAATGCATATTTCGGTGGGATTTTAAAGTAGGGATAGGCCGGATACCCAGTTTGGATCCGGTATCCGGCGAATTCGGCACTCTTTTTAGGATCCGGCCGGGTACCGGATAATGACACCGGTACTTGGCAGTCCTGGTTAATTCTACCAAATAAAAAAGAATTCGGTTATCCAATACCCAGTAAAATTACCCGGTGAAATCACTATCCAGTGCATCTCTACTTTAAAGAAATACAATAATGATAGAGTAATACCAACCAGAAAGTAAAATGTGTCAATTCATTAACTATTTTATAAAAAATATAAAACACTGTCAGAAATGTTCTATATAGTGAAAACTGCTGATCAGGTGATGTGTACAAACAGTTGATTTGATTTCAAGTACTTGCTTGATACTTCTGTAGAAGTTTGAAAAGGGTGGATTTCCGCATGGACGAAAATGTGATTATTATTCCAAGATCTAAATAGAGTTTAAATAACTGAAACATGTATAATAAGTAACAACAAATCATATGCTTATCTATATGCATGTGTATGTAGATTTGAGGTGCCTTAAAGCTTTTTTTTTAATTTTCTGTATTTTATGGCGAATGATTCAGAAAAAAACATACCGTTGCACCACATTATACATATGTAATTTAAGGTGACTGGTCAAATCGGGAATCAGAAATTCGAAATAGATTTTCTGAAAATGGTTAAGCTAAATGGAAAATTTATTATTATTACTAGGTTTTTATTTTGTTTATACCGATGCTTATGCTTTCTTCTAGTTCATATTTGAAAGTTTGATAACCTTTTAAAGATTCTGCATCTAATTGCTAATATCTAATCTACATATTTTTTTTAAGTTTTTTCTTGACCTCTCACCTATTGAGAAAGACTTTTAGGTAATTGCGTTAAAGAAATAAATACAAAAATTGATCACAAGAAAAGGTTATCAGTTGTTATCACGCGTTCTCTGTCTTTACAATTTTCTTCTTAAAAAAGATGTCAAGCTTGCAATTTCGGCATAATTTGCAAAGAATTAAACAAACTGTTTAAAAAAACTAAAAACGATAACCCGCTTCGCTGTGTTTACTGACTTATAGAATGTTTGGCGGCCGATTCGAAAACACAAATGGATTCCAGACTGGTGAAATCGCAAACATTAAAGTAGATTCAAAATATACATATATTAGGACGCTTTGGTCGAAAACATAAAAAAGTTACAGTTACGAACCAGCTTCCCTGATATCGTTAGCATCATTTCTAGAATTTGTTACCTTACCTTTAGTTGCAATTTTTTTCTCAAATCAATTGTAGAATTGTAAAAAATCAAATTATGTGAGGGTAAAGGCTTTATTTTTATGAAACCACATCCGACGTTTCGCCTCAAATATGAGGCATCATTAGGGATAGGTTTTTAGTTTAAAAATCCAAAGTTTAACTTAGAAACCTGTCTCTAATGATGTCTCATATTGTGGCGACATGTCGGAAGTGGTTTCATAAAAATAACAATCTTTACCCCTACTTAGGCAATTAGGAAAACGGTCATTCCAAAATGTTCTCG